AAGCATGCTCTGTTGATCGCCAAACAGTCGCCAGATATCACAGACATTTTCAGAAAGGTAAAAACCCTTAAAAGATAAAGGGCACTGTTTTCACTGTTTAAAGGCTGGTCATTGTGCAAATAAATGCAGGAGTTCTATTAAATGTACAATTTGCCATAAAAATCACAGCGTAATTATGTGTTTAGAATCGCTTAAAAGTAAAACAAATGCTAAGAAGCCTATGTTAAACAGCAATAAAAAAGAAACTGGCAAGGAAAGAAGTTCTGTAAATCTTTCGAGTATTAGCAACACACCACAAGTGCTTTTGCAAACCTTGAAAGTAAAAATAATTGGAAATAATTGCACACTTTGTGTTCGAGCTTTATATGACACAGGATCGTAAAAATCATATTTAAGTAAGGATTTAATTTCTACTCTAGGCCTGATACCTTCTACACAACAGATTTTGAGACACACCCTTTTTGGAGGAAAACGAACACCTGAAAATGTGCATAATGTCTACAAAATTAAGCTAAAGAGTTTATGTAAAAAAGGTTAGCTTTAAATATGTTCTTGGCCCATAGATGGCGCCACTGTTTTTATATTCTATACTGTGCACTCCAATAAAACTTCACTTGTGTTCCAAACTCCCAACAGGTATATTGTGTATTATTTATTCTCATGCATGCAAGTAACCACTCTCTGCTATATTGAGTTTCTAATAGGTTATGGGCCCAGGCCAGATAAAGAAATGAGGATAAATAATCTAGTAAATAGTTAAGTTAGTTTGTTTATTCAATTCTATTTGTAAATTTTTAGAATTACTTTAACCAAAATTGACCACATGGTTATGTTAGGGTTAGCCAAAGCACATGGTTGCAAAAGCTTAACTAGTACAAATATTTTTGACTGTTAATTATTTGGGCAAATGTTTCTTTGAGAATAAAATTAATTCAATAGAAAATTTATTTGAATTTATCTCAAATTATAATTTTTTTGTCTCTTGTTGATTAAAGTTAAAAAAGGAAAAATGCCAGGGGAGAAGGTTCATTTAGTCATAAACAATTGAGTGGAAGGGAAAATTACATGGATTGGAAATTTTCCATGAAAATGCATCTTATTAAATTAGATTTATGGGCTTATGTAGAGGGTACAAAAGAAGATCCAGTAAAGGATACCAAAGCTTTGTCATATATAGTTGAAGGGGTAAGTGAAATTATTTTCAATGATATAAGGGGTTTAACAAGTGGAAAGGAAGCTTGGAAAGTATTAGCTGAAACATATGAGGATAAGGGAATCACAAGAAAGGTTTCAATAATTAAAACATTAGTGAATACCCGTTATACTGATTGTAAGGATATGTCTGACTATTTACATAGGGCCATTTCAGCTTATCAGCAAGTTAAAATCTACTGGTGTTAAACCTGATGAAGAATTAATTGCAGGAATAATTTTAGCTAATTTACCTGATAGGTTTGAACCTCTTATAATGGCTTTGAAAAATTGTGGTGAGGCAAGCAATAACAGTTGACAATGTTAAAAATCGCTTGTTAGCCGAAGATTCAAAACCCCTAGTCAATGAAAGTAAGGAATATGCATTTGTTAATAAAAATATCGGAAGCAAAAGGTACTTTAAAGGAAAATGTTTTAAATGCAATTTGTTTGGCCACAAAAGCTCCGATTGTCAGAAGTCACCTCTCAAAAAGGATAGATATAATGAAAACAAGTTTAACAAAAAGTCTAATGTTGGATTAAAACATAAAAAAGGGGAAGAAGCTTATGTAGTGGAAATTAGTGTAGCTAATTCTAATCCACATCCCAATATTTGGTACATGGATTCTTGTGCTTCTTACCACATGACTCCACATAAAGAATTATTAGATGATTATCAGGATGCTAGTATTCATCAAATAAAAACAGGAAGTTCAGTAATAGAAGTAGAGGGTAAGGGTAAAATAACTTTCCTCTTATCTAGAAATAAAAAAAGGGAGTCTGTAACTTTTAGTAATGTTTTACACGTTCCAAAGTTAACAGCCAAATTTGCTGTCCATTAAGTATTTAAATAAAGTATTTGGAATGGTTAGTACTTTTACAAGTGAAAGATGTTTTGTGTATGATGGTAAACATTTAGTTGCTACTGGAACAGGTATGGGAGATAATTTGTATTCTCTTGATTTATGTAATGAGTGGGCTTTAATTACTGCTAAAAATATTTCAAATGAATTATTACATAAAAGAGTGGGCCATTTAAGTAAAGGAGGAATGACCAGATTAAAAGATATGGTCAAAGGTTTTACATTTAACGGAAAATTGTTAAATTGTGTGTCATGCATTAAAGGCAAAATGCATAGACAACCATTTCCCAAGGGAAAAGCTAAGCGTGCAAAAGAGTTATTAGGCATAGTACACAGTGACCTGTGTAGGCCTATGAATGTTACATCAATTGGTGGTTCTCGCTACTTTATTAGTTTTATTGATGATTTGTCGCGAATGACTTTTGTTTATTTTTTGAAAAATAAATCTGAAGTTTTTGAAAAATTCAAAATATTTCAAGCATTTGTTGAAAGGCAAACTGGCAAATCTAGCAGTCTCTTTAGAGTCTGTGATACGCTGGTAGCGTAATAGTTTGACGCGTAAGCAAACATTTTAATGGTACCCTCGGCGGAAGTGGATTCTAGACACTGGTTTAAAGATGGAGATCCAATTTGCCTAGCAGATGCATCGAACACTGGACATACTTTGGTAGTACGATGTTCCTTGACTACAGGTCGGTGAGGAAGAAAGTGCTGGTGTGAAACATGCACATCTGTGACATAATCTATTATTCTCAATTCAATCCCCTGCTTAAAGACATCATCATAGGTATCAAATAATTTTTCTGAATTCAGCTTTTTTGTTGAGACTTCAAATCTTCTTATCATTATATCTTTGTTGGTTGGGAGAGGCAAATGATCATCTTTCCACGGTAAGGCAACTTCGTACCGCCCATCATCCTTGATTCGTAGAATCTCTTGAAAATATTTCTTCATAAGAAATTCCTTTTCCTTTTACGATTTTACTTAAACTGGATCAGATATTCCTAAGATGTCTAAGGAAAAAAGGTCAGAAATATTGGCATCTTTCACATTGTTACAATCACCGTATCTTCCCTTTCAACATTCACTGATGTTTTACCGATCAATGTCCAACCCAGGTAAGTTTCTATGGCTACAATACCACTAGAAAGTACTCTTTTTCTGTCGGTGAAAAGTCGACAAGCCACATCTGCACCAATTAAAAGATCAATAGGACCTGATGAATCTTCAGTGTCATAAAATGGTATATTCGTGACCTGGAGCTCTTTAATCCATGGGCCATTTAAGATATTCTAAATTCTATATTCTAAAGTATTCATTTATTTAATAAAACATCACTCAGGTATATAACATACAATTAATCTTCAATAAGCCTAACTAACTACAGAAACATATTTTCGTATTTCTATGAATTGCCCTGCTGCCACTCTCATGAAACCAAACTAACAACAATTATTAGTGGCCAAAAAGTAAAAGTAATAAGTATTGTAAAATTATAAGTATAATTTAAGTAAAAAATTAAAGGAAAGTAAGCACAAAATATAAACTATATTGTTTTGAAATCCAACACTAAGACCTAAAACATGTATTATTCTGCAGTCATTTTGTGTTATTTAGAGGTAAAAGATCAGTAATCAATTGGTTTTCACTCAAAAAGTTTGGAAAGAAGAAGAGAAAAAAATTCGAAAATTAGTGGTTTCAAGGTGCAACCACCGCACGTCAAGTTTTTATGTGAAAATAGATCGATGTGTACATGGATAAAGTTAAGGCAATGCGCAGTGCCTATTTTGTGCAATTCTCTGGTGTTTTTTTAAGTGAAAATAGGTTGATGTGTACATGGACACCTAGTTTGTGTAAATCTTTGACTTATTATTTTGGTTTTGTGTAGTGGCCATCTTGAAATTGCCCCCCGATCGTTGCGTTGAAAAGAAACCATTCACCAAGGGGTACCATAGCATAAATTTTTGCCACGCTTTAATATATTTAATACAGTGCTGATAGCAATGTTAGAAGCATGAGCTGCCAGGGATAGCTGTTGATGAGGAGCATGTAATACAGTGCTGAAAGCAATGTTAGAAGCATGAGCTGCCAGGGATAGCTGTTGATGAGGAGCATGGTAAACTAAAGTTGCTGAATTTAGAAGGTCACATTTACACGCTTCAAGTGCTTGCATTAAAGTACTGTTCCAAGGAACCACCTATTAATCATTTTTTTAATAGTCTTGATTGGATTAACAGGGATTTGGTGATATGCATAAGCTAAGTCTAATGTTGTAAATATACTTTTCCCATAAAGTACTTAAATACAATCTTGGATGTAGGAGAGGAGATAATGAACACTGATGGCATTCAACCAACGATAACTGCAGCACTGATGCCATTTGTTTTGATGGATTGATGATATCCTGTGCCAAGAGATACTCAAATTCCTGGTAAGCAATCATGAGAGGCTCAGGTGAAAACTGACGCTGTTTTGAAGATACTGAAGGCCTCTTGGTCTCACTGTGGTGAACGGTTAGAATTTCAAATATATAATTTCTTTAGAGTTTTAAGTATATAAAATAATGCATTTAAATGAACAGTTAGAAAGATAATAAGAGATTAGAAGCCCTGTTATGGTTAGACTGCCACGTTTTGATTAGAGAATATTTGAAGAATTAACTTTTCTACTTTTTACAATAACTTGAATTCATTAGTTTTTCTTATAATGCTGCTTCTTTCTGATGCAATGCATAAGTGTTCAAATTTCTGTAATAATTATCCTATTATAAATTATTTTTCCAATTATATTTTTTTATGTTTTCTTAATTTTTGAAAAAAAGTGTAAATCACCAAAGTAAACGTTTTTCTTAATTTTCTAATGTTTTCTCTGAACTTATCTGTTTACAGCTCACTTCATAAATTAATTTAAACTAAATCTCTCCTCAATTTATGTCTTTTAATTTAGTTGTAACTTAAGCCATTTCACTCTGAAGATCACAGAAATGAGTAAAGAAGCATGGGAAAAATTTTATAATGAGAATCCTCCTCCATCTGAACTACATAATATCCAAGAACAGATGAAAAACTTTTGTAATTATCATGCTTCTAAAGGGAACTATGTGGTATTAGTTACGGTTGGTATTTAAGTATTCTTCATTGATGTTTATTTTGTTATTCTGCTGATATACTATTGATGTAAATTTTATTGCATGACTGATTGATATTGAAATTAGTAGTTGATCAAGATGTACTTTGTATCTGTTGTGAGCTTTTTGTTTAGTATATTGCAAGATAATTATTATTTTTTCTTTTATGTGCTATTAGATTGCATTCTCTTCCATGGGAAAACTAAGTGGCTTATTTTCATGAAAATGTTGTGGAACCCTATAAATCAGTATGATTATTGGAGCAAAATTTCATATTTTCTTTTATGGTAGAAAATATTTCGTATATAATATAACTTCTCCCACCCCGTTGTTAGTTTAAAACATTCATGTCGAAAGAAGTGATTAAGTGGTTCTTGGGTAAACCATAGACAGGATACAATGTATAACAATGTGTTGTTGATTTAATGAACAATCATTTCATGGATACACTAAAGAAACGATATAATTTTCTCACTGAAAATGTTGGTAAGGTGTTACCTTCAGTTTGTAGAGCTTTATTTTTTCTGTAGCATAATGATTACAGTCAAAAGTCTTTAATCGGACGTCCATAATCCGGAATGATCTATAATCCGGACCGCAAAGCTACAAACTTTCTGCGCATGCGTTTACGCATGTGCATTTAATGTATAACGGACTAAAACTGTAACGGTATAAGCTAAGCTAAAATTATCTAATTATCTATTTCAGTTAATGTTGCAGATTACGTGGTTCCTTAATCTTCTAATTGGATCCGGCTTATTATTTTTTGCAGACTGTTAGAGCAATTTTATAAAAGTAAGCTTGAACTTTTGATTATGTCAAAAAGAATTTCCTATTCTGGAGCTCCCAAAAAATCTACAAAGCGAAAGCATGTTTCGATGTCCATCAAACACAAAGTAGAATTGCTGCAAAAAATGGATAAAGGCATGTCCTCTGTTTCTTTAACCATTCCGAAATCTGTTTATCAATTTCACGCTGCTCTGCGAGAGGGGGAGGATGTCGTGGCACGCAATGAACTGGAAGTTGATTTTGTCAGCACTATCCTTATCTTCAGGGCAGATTTTTATTTTTATTCGGCTTATAATTCCTATTAAATGTAGTATTTCATCTCGATTGTACTCCGTTTTGATATGATTTAAATCAAATTCCTCGTCACTATAAATATCACAAATACACATCAAATAGTTTTCTGGTTACAATTTTCTAATTTTGACTATGCGTAATGTATATATCAAAAAGGCTTCAAGAAAAAATAAGAAAAGCTTGAAGCCTTTCAACATACGCATGCGTATGTTGAAAGAAATGTTTAATAAAGTAAACAAATAAATATTAAGCTTTTTTTTGTAAATTTTTATACCCTTTAGATCATTATTGCTCTTTATTTTATAAATTGCGGTTTCATATTTTTAATTTTATAATTTCTGCTTGCTATATTACCAAATTTAAACTGATGATCTATAATCTGGAAAAACGATAACTCGGAATCGCCGAAGTCCTGACGAGTCCAGATTAAAGACTTTTGACTGTATTTGAATATCACACAGCATACTGCAGAAAGAAGCACAAAGAAGCGACTGTCACAGAAAATGAAAATCAGAAACTAAGCTTTTATGATAGCATCACAGGGTTATGCTACATAAACAGAAAATTCTTACTGCACAAGGATCATTGATAGCCTTTCATACTCCATCATTTACACAGTTCAATAGATTTCATATCCAGCATCATAAGAAATTTGGGTACTTTTCTGTTAACTTGTGCCAAAGCACCAAATGTCATAGTTTATTTATATTATATCATGAGTAGCTATGCAGCAATAATATATATATACAATGACAAAATAATTCTTTTGGGGGGGGAAAAAAAAAACACTAACATGCTTAGTTACTTTCGCACATTAAGCTGCAGAAAAATTATCATCAAAGACACAAAGTAAGAAATTTAGAACTAATATTTCACAAAGACCAGAAATTGAAATTCATAATTAATAAATTTCAAATAATATATAAATATATATAATTTGCATAATGCCTAATTTTAGCAATTCTGTAATTTTTTGTTCAAGCAAAACATCAAAAAACTCCGCAAATGAAGCTCCGTACACAACCATGGCATTGTACACATTTTGTATATTATGGGTATTTCCATATTATCACAGCCTAATAGAAATTATCAGAATGTGCCAGGCAACCATGCTGATAACAATCACTGAGTCAAGCAACTTCACTATTTTCATAAATGTTCTTTTTGTTAAGTTCCAGCAATTTTAATTGACAAACCATGATATTTATTTTAAACTTTAAAATACATACTTGTGGAATTTGCGATGGAAAAAAGAAACTGCAATAAAATTTCTGCAGGGATACAATATTTTCCCTTAAAATTACTTAAAAGGACAATGATGAGATGGTTTGCTAAACAGCCAGTGCATAATGCTGAGTTGTGTACATTACTGAATTTGTGTAATGGTCTAGTGTTTTTTTAAGTGACTAACTGATCACTGTGTATACAGAGAAGAAATCAACAGAAAAAAAAAAAATTACTGGAGGATTTTGCAAAAAAAGTAAGCATTTTATTTTTCAATGTATCATACACTCTGTTGCAAAAAATATATATAAACCCAGAAAACTTTGAGTTGCAACTATGAAACATGTAGATGTGATTTGGCAAGCTGTGTAAATTATTAAACTTAAACACCAGTTAGCATTGTTGAGCAGTACAACACACGTCTGAAGGACGCAGCTGCTAGATTGTAAAAGAGCAGATGCAGCAAATGACGAGCACATATAGCTGCACTGACAGTTTGGATACATGGCATTGTAACGAGTTGTTCCTTTGAGATGTACTTGATGGCATTACAAACAGTTGTCAGACTTTGAGAGCGGTTATATCATAGGGTTAAAAGAGGCTAGTATGTTCATGTTTGTGAATCTTTTTTTAAAATGTGAAAATAGCCAAGTTGTATCTGATAGGAATTTTTACTTTTCATCTGTAAAAAGTCACTAAAATGCACCAATGTGCTTGAATTAATACATAAATACCATATTATATTTATTATATATAATAGTTATTTTTTCTTGAAGCCTTATGTACCATCAGTGCTAGGCGGTACTCTGTTAATAAAAAAATACTGAAATTTTTTTAAAAATCTTACGCAAATAAGAATAAAACATGAAAGTATTGTTGTTAATATGTTTGCTTCTTTTGTCCTATGCAAAATTTTCAATGATTGCATCAAACAAAGAATGTGTTTTTGATGATGGATTTGTTGAATCATTCAAACTTTAAGTTAGTACCTGTTTTGGTGAGGTATTTTGCATCAACTAAAGGAATTGAAGTAAAGGCAAAAGTTTCTGAATTTAAAAGAGAAAACTTCCAAAACTCTAATAAGCCAGAGCATGCTTGTTTTGTAGAAATATATATATATATTTTTTTCCCTTGGTAATCAAGCATTCATTGGGAATTGCTCAAATCATTGGTCATTAGTCATCTCATCACCAAGAACATTTGCTCATCCTGCATGATGTGGAGTGATCAATATTATACTCATGGGGAATGGGGCGGGTACAGCATGCCTACATATAAACCTTATAAAAGTATTCAGCTCCTTGATTCCGGGATAGCAGTCAGCGTGCACAGTTTAACCATAAAATCAATAAATTTTTTGCATGAAGACAGCTACATCAATTTCAGAGGCTTTGCTAAAAAGAAAAGAAGCAATGTTTTAAGTTAAGCTGCCCTTAAGTGGCCAAAGCTCTTAGCTCTTTGTGCCTTACAAGGAGCATTGCTGTATAGTAATACCATATGCAAGAACGAGGATCAATTATGAATAGAATGAAACAAAGTTATGCTAAAAGTCCCATCATCACAATGATTGTAACAAAGAAACTGAGTGCTATATGCATAAATGTTTTCACTAGAAGTAAAAATTGTCAATTAAAAAGAAAGTGCCAAAAATAACTTTTCCTTTTGAGATTAATTTATATATTGTTACTTCCATTATAAATGGTATTTTGAAAGCCTCTTAAAATACCTCATCTCCAGACAAGTGCTGAATTCATCCATGCTTTAAAGCTTATCTAGATATATTTGCAGTAACATTAAATAATGAATTTTGTATACAACCAGTTTTTGTTATGAATAAAACTTTTTGCTATGAAAAAAGGGAATATTTTCCGTGCCAAATGTAGTCATCATTTGGCATGACCTAAAAGCAGGCTTTTAAAATTTAGTAATAAAAAAAATGACTTAAAAGGACTGAATGCTAGTTATCATATACCTCACTATATATATATTTAAATCTATTTTCATAAGAAATTGATTTATTCTATTTCTGTTGTGAGTCCTTCATGCATTACATTTTAATATTTCATTTAAATAATTTTAAAGTTATAGCTGAAATAAATTTTTTAATTAAGAATTACTTGCATTTGAATGTTTCATTTACTTCAGTGTGTTACTTTTATATGAAATTTTTCATCTGCTGCATATTTATGTAACATTTGACATTTTCCAATTTTAATATCTTAACAGGCATTCAAATGTTATACAAATTTCATTTCATATTGTTTTTTTTTTTCTTTTTTTTTTTTTCTTTTTTTTTTTTTTTTACTTTTTTAGTCTGGAGGAACTATTGTACCACTTGAGCATAATACTGTTCGATTTGTGGATAATTTTAGTGCTGGAACCAGGGGTGCTGCTTCTGCTGAGTATCCTTTTGTGATGGGTTACTTAGAATCTAGGAGCTACAAATCTAAATCAAAGCTTTATCTACATCTTTGGGAAATCAAAATCTAAATTAGTTCTGTAAAAAGTGAATTTAAAAAAAAAATTTTAATCTAGAATATTCTACACATGAATAAAAAATAACAAAACGAAATTGTATCTAAACAGTTGGTATAAAGAATATTCTGTGCATAAATTAAAAAAAAATAATTAAGCAAAACAAAATTCAGTCTGAACGGTTGGCATAAAATGACAAATATCATTCAGTATTATAGGAAAAAAATTCAGTTTTTGAATATAACTGGCACCACATAAATTCTATCAAATATGACTTGATGAGAAGTGCTTTGCTAACATATATTACTCCATTTAGCACTACACCACAATTTCGCTTAATAGTTAAAAAAGTTTGGGTATGGCATCCGGTTTTTATGGTCTACAAAATTATAACTGTAATTCGCAGTGAAATGTTCATACCCAACATTTCTTATATCCTTTTCAGCCATCTGAAAATATAATTCTGATATCCATGAAGTTTTCCTGAATGGCAGTCATTAATGTTATTCCACAACGATCAGGAACGGGGGAGCAGAAAATATTCTTTGCTTTCCCGGCATAAACCCCCAAATACCCATTGTTCCAGAACAACACATCCAACGTTGTTTTTTTCTTTCTGAGAAAAGACTTTAGTCTGTTTCTACAATTTTGTCTCCACTGATTTTATTTCTTTTGCAAAACATCATACTATTTGCACATATTTCCCTCAAGTCGTTATGTCAATTTTACTGTTGTTATGGCTGATTTGTAACTGAAGTTTGCAAAATTTAGTTGGTGTCAATTCATGACACCACAGGTAGATAAAATGAACGACATTGAGGAAAGAAAATGTTATGTTCCATACTTGGATTCCCAATCCTTGTTTTTTTTTTTTTTTTTTTTTTTTTTTTTTTTTTTTTTTTTTTTTTTTTTTCCACACAACGGGAACGTACGTAACAACGTCAAATAGGAGCTTTGTTTGAGTCAAAAGTTAACTTCATCGAATGATTTTAAGAACAAAGTCAATTGCTATGAATTATTCCTTTGTTCTGAAGGAATTTTATGGCAGCCTTATCATAATTAGGTAGTTGCCAAATTGTGTAGTCCATTGTTCTAAAAAATTGTAGTGAAATATAGAAAAAAAAAAAAAAGAAGAAGAAGATATTTCAAGCGAAAGCCAGAAATCTCAACCCTTGATATTTCAGATCTTAAATTCTTGAGCCACGATATTTGACGTGTTGTTGTAACACCATTTTCTTCTCATTATTTTCTTCATTTTTTTAATTATTGCCACTCTAACAGAATAATTCCGTTTTAATTAAATGCATCCCCATTTCAAAGGCTATGCTTTACTCCAGCACTTTGCAGCATGTTATGTAACTCTTTCCTTGTGATTTCACTGCATTGTGACATCTTTAGCCCAGTTGCAGCTCAAGATTATTGAAAAAAATTTCTGGCTATAAATAGGATTGAAATTAGTATTTCATTGCTTTTTTTCTTTCCTTCTGCTGCTTGAATAAACCATGCCTCCTGCTTTGCCTTCCCTCTGTATTGTTTAACATGTAAATTTCTATAGAAATTGGGGCACATTAAGCACTAGTGTTGCTTAATTTCTGTTATTTTGCACAGAAAAAAATAATTTCTGAATAATAGTGATGTTTTAACCAAAACATCAGGCAAAATAAAAGTGATGTTTTAACCATCAAGCCAGTTGAGATTTTTGCACCAGTCATTTAAGAAACAGTTTTCCATGACTAAGGAGGAACTGTTTTTCATCTTCTGCAAATACTACATCATCACAGAGAGCTAGCAGGATATTTAAAACCTATATGCTGACCTAATAGAAAAATATCCACAAGTTCACTGGTAAATGATTGAAAGAAATCCCGAAATTTATTGTCCAAGATGTGTTGATTTCATGCACATTAACTGTCGGTGATCAAATGAGTGTAAAGTAGGTCAAGATTATTTATGTCTCTCCAGTGCTGTATGAGAAATTTTCTCTGCTCTGAATGGGTATCTAAATTTGTGTTCCTCGGTCTACAAGTAAAAAATTATCAAGTGTGTGTGCTTTATTCTGCGAGTTAAAGATCATTTAATTAAAAAAGTGAAAGATTTCCTCAAAAGTATAATTATATGCCTTGGTCTACAAATATAATTTTTTTTTTTTTTTTTTTTTTTTTTGTCTTTTCATCAAGCAGTGCTTTGGCACTTTCAAATCATTTGCCCGTGTTTTGATTTCAATATAAGTATTTAAAAATTTTTCTAATGTATAATTTCGGAATTTTTTTTTTTTTTTTTTTCTAATAATATATATAACATTTTTCGATAATTGCTATGAAGAAATCAGACTTCACCCCAAAAATGACAGTATTTTAAGTCAAATGTTAAGATAGGGAACAATAACTTTCTTGCTATTTTTAATGCAGATTGCCAAGTTAATGTAATTTCTGAAAACATTTTAAGATTTATTGATAATCTTGAAACCATCGAAAATGAACCTTCAAGAAAGTTATTGTTCTTATCTGGAGGTTTTTCTGTCACTAAATTAATTAAATTGTCATATAAAGCTGGAAGAATAAGTAGAAATGTGATATTTTGTATTTTTAACTCTCATTTGAATTATTTATTATTATCTTCATATTGTGTTCATTTATTTAAACTGCAGTTGAACTTCACTGATTATGATATGTATCAATTTAAGAAAAACATGAGTAAGGATGTATGTCTAATCTTAAAAATCATTTCTTATATTTTTGTGAGAATACTCAAAGTAAAAAAGAGTATGGTAACTTTAATCTTTTTTTATTTTTTCAATATTCTACTCATTACTTGCAACTTTTTCATGTTGCAAGTAACAAGTGTGCAAATCCCTGTGTAAATAACCATTTGTAAGAATTATTAAATAACTATAGTCATATATTTGCAAAAGGTAAATATGATGTAGGATGTATTAATGTTGAAACTCCAAGAATAATATTGATTTCAGAACCTTCCAATTGCTTATTTTTCATATAGAGCATCCCCTAAAGATTATACAGAAATTAAAAAAACAATGAGTTGAGTTATTGCATGCAGGTATTGTAAAACCATCATCTAGCCCTTCTGCTGCCCTTGTAATTTTAGCCTTAAAAGAGAAGAAAATGCAGAAACTAGATTATGTACTGCTTTCAGAAAACTTAACCAAATTACTCAAAGAGATTCTGAACCCATACCTAGAATAGATGCAGTATTAGATCAATTAAAAAATGCAAAAGTTTCTACATTAGACCTAGTATCTGATTATTGGTATATCAAGTTAAGTGAAAAAGATACTGAGAGATTTGCATTTACTACTGATTTTGATCTATGAATTTAATAGATGACCTTTTGGTTGGAAAAATTCCCCAGCTGTTGTTCAAACAGTTCTTAGACAGATTCTAAATGAATATATTAATAGTTTGCCTTAAATTATTTTGATAACATAATAGTAATTTCCCAGAATTTTGAAGAACATTTAGAACATCTTAAAATAATGTTTGACATATGTGAAAAGGAAAATATGAAATTAAAACAGTCAAAGTTCCATTTTGAAAAAAAAAAAAAAAAAAAAAAGTACATTTTCTAGGGCATGAAGTTCAAGTAGAAAAATATCAACTCAGTAATGCAAATATTGAAATTATTAAAGAGCCTTTCAGAATTGAAAATATGATCTAATTTCCAGACCTATTTTAACTTAATTTAATCTAAAATATTCCTGTCCTGTATTTGTGGATACATCTAAAGAAGCTGTTGGTGCAATTCTAAAACAAGAACATCCCAATGGTAATTTACATTCCATAGCTTACCATTCTAAAAAATTAAGATCTTATGAAAGAAATTATGTAATTACTGATTTAAAGTGTTTAGCTATTGGATATGTGATTGATAAATTTTATTATTGTTTATATGTAAATTATTTTACTTATATACTGATCATGCTGCCCTAGTTTGGTTTAAACATTCTACAAGTAGATGATCATTGAAATTGTCTATGTATGATTTTGATATAAAATATCAAAAAGGTTCTACTAATGTTGAAACTGATATATTAATTAGAAATCCCATTTCTCAATATTTATTCATACAAACAAATCTATTATTGGAGGAAATTGAAGATCATCAAAATTTAGATAATGTTTCTAACCCTAAGTATAAGAAAGTGATTTGTTAACTCTAAAGAAACAAGGTTTGTTCAAAACTGTAATTCCAGTATCTCTTTGTACTAAATTACTTGAAAAAGCTCATGTTGAATTTGAACATATTGGTGTCTTCTTAATATTAAATTTGTTGTTACCTCAGTATTATTGTGCTGAAATAATACAAAATATTTGAAATTATTGGAAACATTATGAAGTATGTCACAGTAATAAGAAAAGTAAACAGAAGAAATTTTTCTCGGCCCCTGTCAATAGCTATTGCTTTTAAATAATTTAGTTCTTTATCAAGGGCTAGTTTGGAAGAGAAAATTTGAAGAGCATAGAAGGCATAAGAATAAAATGAAGCTACTTTTGTTTAGTTGGTGACATATTTAAAGTGTGGGAAGGCAAACCGATGAAGGTTTTATGGGTAAACCGTAGTACTGAGTTGGATGTGTTACGTTTGACTAGAATTCGAGAAACAAAGAGAATTGCAAGTCTCACTTCAAAAGGGACTGAATAGCAGGATCAAGATTCATTGTTTGAAAGAACTTTATTTTAAATATCTTATTTACCTTCAAACAGGGTAAAGTATCGTCTACTTAGCGACTATGCCGGAATTTAAAGTTTCAACATTTTTGATTCAAAAATATGTAGAATATCAGCCAGGATGGGACTGAGGGGCTCCCCATGGCTAATTCCTCAGTTTGCTTGAATATTTATTTTTGGAAAACAAAATGTGTTTGTTTCAAACAGTGTTGAGTGAGAGAAATTAGCTCGTCAATTTCGATGCAAGAAAAATGAAATTTGCGAAGTCTGGTTTCTAGACATCTTAATGCGTTCCAGTGGTGACTTCTGAATTAGTACTTATATTAATTGTTTAAGAAAAATATTTCAAGTTCAGGTCTCAAAATTTTTAAATGATGGAAATACTGCTTCTTCAAAATTGAAGCATTTTTTTTTTTTTAAGAAACAATAACTTTAAACAGTTATTAACTACTGCTAATGTACCACAAACTAATAGTGAGTAGAAAGAGTTAATCAATCCATTATAACTAGACTAAAATGTAAATTAAATTCTTATAAAGATAATAGTCAAAATATTCCAAATAGATTAAACTGTTACCTCAAGTTACTGAAATGTGCAATAACAACCATAGTCTGTAACAAAATTTCACCATCTTAGTTAATGTATGGAAAATTTTCTTAATCATTTCATGTAAAATATGAAATATGGAACAAAAGTATTAAAATCAATTGGAACCAATTGGCAATAGACCTTCAAATTCATGAATTTTAATTACTGCTATGTCACTCTGCAGCATGTTATGTCATTCTTTCGCTGCAATTTCTCTGCACTGCAACAAGCTAAACCTAATTGCTGCTCAGGATTAACCCAAAAAAAAAAAAAAAAAAAAAAAAACTTTCTGGCTGTAAATATGATTGAAATTAGTATGCATTGCTTTTTTCTCGCATGTTGGTGCTTAAGTAAACCATGTCTCTCGCTTCACCTTCCTTCTCTGTTGATTAACATGTAAACTTTGTATATAGAAATTGTGGGGCACATTTAGCAGCCCTAGTGTTGTAGCAGTTTTAAGCCAAACTGTATTTCTGAGTAATAGTTCCTGTGCAAAATAAAAATAATATTTTAACCATTAGCCAGTTGTGATATTCACACCACTTGATCATCTAAGCTACAGTCTCCTTGGCCGTGATGATGAGGATTTTTTGTCTTTCACATGAACTACATCATCACATATGTATATTTTTATCTCGAAGTTTTTGGTATTAACTTAGTTTATAATAGATCCACATGTAGTTGAATGACTAAAACTACAGGACACAGTTGTTCTTTGTCTCTTGTTCTTGTGCCAAATGCTGAATGCACTTGTAGGATTTTTCTGTTTTCTCATGCTTTGTAAAATAAGTAATAACAAGTGTTCTGTAAAAAACTTTCCAATTGGACAGCTAACTTTTAATTACTTTGCCTAAACTCACAATTCAATGTTGATTTTATTTTGTTGCAGAAAATACGAAGTTTTCAATCTACTATAATTTTTATTTAATAAAAACGGTGATTTTAAGAAACTTCTGTAGTTTCAGAAAACTTTTCAGTAATTCAGAAAGCAACTCTTTTAAATACTAAAGTTTTAACAATAAATTCTTCTATTATTTTTGTGCCTTATCGTATGAACATATATCATATATTTAAGGCCTTGTATCAAATTAAGGAAAACTATTAATTTGTTATTTTAAATTTATAACTGTTTAATCCTTATAATGAAACAGATATTTCTTAAAGTCTGGCTGTGCTGTTATTTTTATGCATCGCACAAAATCTTTGGAACCCTTTGTACGTCATGTGTCTGTATCTGACCTTCTGGACTCTCTTCGGCCTAATGAATCTTCTGATAATTCATGGAAACTTGAAGGTATTATTAGACTTTTCATAATTGAAAACATTTATTACAAACTCCTAAAAAAAATATTTCATTCTGACTTAAATTTTTTTTTTTTTTTTTTCCTTCTTTTTCACTTTATATAGCACAATCTATGCAATTCTAGAAAGATTGTTGGTTAATCCCCCCCCAGAAGAAATGTCAAAAACTAGCTTGTATGTAATGTGTGTGTGTTTTCATGTATAATTTCAAAGAATTGAATAAAATAAGGTGTATGTGTCCAGGTGCTTATAATCTATTTATAATACTATATTTACTTCAATTTGTAATGTTAAAGTTAAGTAGTATCCGCATAATGAAATTGTAAAAATATGAATGTTAAATTCCATGGCTGAACACTTAACTTGAGAAAAACTGGTCTTCTACTTTTTTTTTCTTTTTCTTTCTTTCCTTTATTTTTTTTCCAGTCCAAAGGGGCAATTTGCTCAGAAGGAGTATTAATTTCTTTTGGCATTTTGCATTGATTCTCTATAAGCTTCAAATTGTTGCCACCAAATATTATCACCCTGTATTATATTTAAAGAAATTAAATAATTAAACATTGTATAAATCCATGTATGTTTCTCGCATAGTGATAAAACAATGGTACCCTAGAGCCATCAAATTTTGAATAATGTAATACTGCTCCAAATAGGAGCATCTGGAAGTCCAAATTTGTAATTTGTTTTATTATCCATTTCATATTTTGTAAAACTGTGCCCCTGTAAACGAATTTTTTATTACCAAACTCAAGGATTTCAAAGCAAGCAATGGCAACATTGTACAGAAAAAAGAAAAAAAAATTATCTCCAGTATGCAAGACTGTGTATCAGAAATTCTAAAGATATGCTCATTTTAAAATTATTTTGTAATATTGCATTTAGTTTTTTTTTTTTTTTTTATTTATTTAGCAGGCTAGGAAACAAAGTGGTGTTAAAAACTGAGCAACCACCTTGACTCAGTTTGGCACTCTCTTACAGAAGAATGATGACTTATAATAGTAAAAAATATTACATACATATGCACATGTTATAAATAAATTCTATATTTTAATTAGGTATTTATGCTAAAAATCATTCAATAAATTTTTTTTAAATTTGAATTTTTTTTTTTTATTCTGCTTGAGATTTTACGGTGATCAAGAGTAGATTCAAAACATTGTTCCTTTTACCGATTCCGTAGCAAAATCCTGTATTCTTACAGAAACTTTACTATTACAGTATCTTTGCTTGGAATTGATCAAACTGTTAATTATATCTTGTATGATATTAATGCTTATTCTTTTAAGAGGTCAGATGAGTTCTTCTTAAAGGTTCTGAAGAGGGAACTGATATGTTGAAACTTAGAATCCTGTGACATCCTAGACTTAATTTGTTAGAAGAGGTCTTCTAAATGATTGGCGAATTTAACCAAATGCTGTCTTTACTTTGGAGGCATCTAGTAATAAGTTAGGCTTGATGAGGTTACATAGTTGCTTATTAGGAGAAATTTGGAATATGCAGCTTTCCATAAAAAAACTTTGAACTGATATAAAGTACCTTATGATATGGACATTTGACAATAATAGAAACTTTCTGATAAGAACATAGATTAGTATCACCTTTCATGATGATTTCCTTTAAGTCAAGAAAGCTGAAGTAATAAGTGATGGAGACATTCCTATATTTCTCCAGATAATACACTTATATTCAAAAAAAAAATTTTTTTTTTGCATGCACAAAGAGGAATTGGTGTTTTGTGATGTAGTCCTAGCTGATTTTTTATGCATTGAAGCATCTAGTACAGTTTGATCAGTCTGTCTGTGAAATATAAGTAATTGCATGACTTTGCATTAAGTATGCAAACTTTTGCAATTTAAAGTTTGATTTCAGTATTTGCTGAATCAAAACAGGCTTTTAGGGCACAAAAGTACTGTTTGTAAGAATACTTTAGATGGAGAGTTGTTGAGACTGTTTAGAAGCAGGGCAGGTAATTACAAAAGGTAGCTGAATGTTTCAAAATGGACAATATCTGCACTTTAGAAACAGTTTAGATTCTGAAATTATATTAGTAAGAAGCTAGAAAAATATCATACAAAAATACATTTGCTCTTCAAAACCGATTTCTATCTGTGAGTGCCTGTCACAACAGGAACTTGGTTAGTTTAGAATATGAAGCTGAGTTTAAAACTTGCAGCCACCACTTGAATTTTTTTGTACAGCAGCAAATTGTAAGCAGAAGGTTTAGTCTGAAATGGTGTAGAAAACATCAGAGCTGGCAACTACAAAAATAATTCTGTATTTTATTCATTAACAAGGCAAGGTTAACTTTAACATCTGTTTGTAAATGTGTTTACATCGGAAGGAGTGAGGAACATTAAATATTTCCACCAACAATAAGAGATATGACTATTACAACTTTGTGCATGCAATGGTATGTGAGAAACAATGCACAATGTAGGTACTTCTGTGTTCAGTGGGAAATCTGTGTGGCCATATATATTGTGAGGATTTCTTATAACTCATTAAGAGGCATATGACTTTCTTTTTATGGGTATGGTAATTGTGATGAAGTCTTGCAACCCGTTGTAAAGCATGTGGCTTTCTATTTATGGATGATAATGTGATATTATAAAGAGAGACTACATGATTCTTATATCAAAACATTTGTTTAGTAATTCCAAATATATTCTCTATTCAGGCAATGAAATCTAAATATATTCACTATTCAGGCAATGCTTTCTTGATAACTTCCTTTTCTTTTAGAGCTCAGCAAAACAGAGTGGATAAGATTGCTGAATACTGATAGTGTGATTTGGGTTCAAATTCCAGCAGTTAAGCTGACTGCATATCCATCTTTATGGCCTATGTATTACATGAATGCAAACTAATTTCATTTAGAAAGTCCATTATAAAGTCTTCTCTTTTGTTAGGAAGATGGCTGTCGTGTACTTTGCCTTAATTAGTTAACCTAATCTTTAAAAATTTTTTCATCGTTCATTCTATTATACCAGCATTTTTCTATCAGTTTTATTTGTCAGCAGGATTGAACGATTTTTAAGTTTGTTTTTAAATTTAATACTTTTTGTTTTTCAAGCATCTGAATGTAAGGTTAATCACTTTAAGATTTATGAAATTTAGAGCTTGCATACATTGAGCTACAGCTTCGAAATAAAGATGACAAGCTGCAACAAATTGAAAAGCAAAAATGTTTTGCCGTGGTGCCATTGAACATTAACACTCCGTCAGGCGCGTCTCGAAACTTGCGGCATCGGGCGCACTGTATCTGTCAGATACATCTCTATTTTACATGTTTTCTGGTAATCTTTATTACATTAAATCTTCTATTTTTATTTTTTTTAGGTCCAGTCTTTTACACCCAGACCTTTCTTTTTGTTTTTATTTTTAAATATTTTTATTTATAATTACAACACTATTACACAGGTTAAAAGCTGTTTAAAATCACCACACAATGAAACATGTTAATACAGTAGAAAAAAAATTTTAATATGGAATTTGTTCACAAATAATATTATCAGAAAATAAATAAAATGACAAAGAAAATCAGTTTCTAATTTCGATTCTGTTTAGTTTGGTTTCATGTTTCTGGCACATCATTATGCATGTTCCAACAAAAATATTCAGCAATTTTATTAGGATATTGGGTCAATTTATTTTCTTTTTGTTTGACTGAAAGCCCTTTGCATTTATTTTGGTTATGGGAACCTTTGCTTTTTCCATCTTCAGCAATTGGCTGTAGGTTTGAAGTTTCATTTGCAAATCCTTTGATAAATAGGTTAGTCATGCACCTAACAACTTCTTCATTGACTAATTCCTTCACCAGTATTTTCAAATACTGTCTTCTGTTCTGAACAGTATTCTAATTTCCCCAAAATACAACTATTCCGTTTATAGCTGAAATATTTAGCATCGAATAAAATATTATCATCGGTCATCTCCTTGTATTGCTAGCGAAATTGTAAGTTCCACACATCTTATCCAGAGCGTCAACACCGCATTTTGTATCATTATAAAATGTGATTATATCTGGCTTTTTTTCATCTCCAGTGTCTGCATCTATAGCATCATCAAAGTGCATACTTGATACAAGCAAAACATTTTTGCCTTTTCTCGGTACGTGTGAAACTAAAGTGCAGTTTCTAGAAAAACAAATAAGCTTGAATGTACTTCTTTTCCTTTAGATTTCACAAAACAGGGAGGTATTTCTTTTTTATTCTTTCTTATTGTTCCTACGTAAGAAAGTTTTTTATCTTTTAGGACTTTTACAACATCAATAGAGGTAAACCAATTATCTGCTGTGATATTGCTACCGCTGTGGAAAATTTGTTTCGATAATCGCAGAACAACATCTAGTGGGGAATTATTGGCACTAAATGGACCTTTGGGGCTGTTTTCCAGCTTATGTTTCTAAATTCAATGTATAAAGCATTTTAGCATCAACTACTGCAAAAATTTTAATGCCATATTTATTTAGTTTTGATGGAATGTACTGGCAAAAAGGGCATCTTCCGCTAAAACCTAATTTCTCATCTATCATAACATTTTGTCCCACGCAATAATTACGCTTACATTTTCCTACAAATTTCTCAATTTCTCTAATAGGTGCTATTTTATCTGTTTTCCTTCTCTCGTTCCTCGTCTCTATATCATCAAATCTGCAGCATCTTAGAAGAAATTTAAATTTCTTTACACTCATTACCGCTCTAAACATCTCAATACCTGTTCCATCAGTAGACCACAGTTGTTCCAAATTTGTCGATTACTTCACAAATGCCAGCTAATAAAGTAAACCTAAAAATGCTTTATTTCAATGATACTGTAGTCTTGCATCTCTCTCTCTAAATCATCGAATTTTAGAATTATTTATTAGTTATTTCACAATTAGTCCAATCGTTCTTAAAAAAAAAAAAAAAAAAAAAAAAAAACAGTTCCAAGTTTATATAGTTTGTTTACCTTTGCATTTCGATTACTCCGTAATTTTGTGGTAATATTTGCGATTACTTTGACATTTTTTCTTCCAGAGGCGATTGTGCCTATTTAGTGCTTTTCTCTTTTTCTACATAAAAATCACCATTGTTAGCATCAAGTTCTGAGTCATTATAATCACTTTCAATACTTTCAGAATCCACTTCAAATGTTTCTAAAATATCCACTTCATCATCACTTTCATAAAATCCTTCAGCATGTAATTCCTCATTTCCATCATTAAACAGAATATTATGGACTAGTTCAAGGTATTTTTGATTATATAAATCTAAAAAGTGTTTAGCACTCATCATGGGAAAAATAAATAAAAAATCTACAAGAAATCTTGCTATTTCCATAAAGCTTCAGGAGACAAACATTATCGAGCGCGTGTATCTCACAGATACAAATTTTCAAATAAGGTTAAAAACAGGAAATACTTTTACACTGAACTGGTCGTTACTACATTCCAAGGCCAGGTGGCCAGGTAGACAGATACTGATAAGGTCAAGGTCGGGAGAAGAAGTTTAAGGGGACAAAAACAGAGATTTTGACATGTCTGTATCTGTTAGATCAACGTGCCCGATGGAATGTTAAGCTATTATAGTATTTAGTAGTTATACAGGCAGAAAGTGAGAAAAGTTAGTATATAAATTTCAAGTATGTAATGAATCATTAGAGCATATCGTACATATCATAAATGAGCGGAAGTAAATTTCCTTATGTTCAGGTATGGATAAAATTTATGTTTCAGAAATGCACAAAAAATAGTTTTTCTGAGTATAACTATGTTTATTAGTTAATGAGTACTTAGAAATTATTTATATTGATGTTGAAATTAAGACATTTTGGTAGTTATAATTAAATCTATTTAGAGATATTTGTTCAGTTAGAGAGTGCAGAGAAGTAAACTATAATTTTTTATGTTTGTTTAATGTTTTAAAATACTAGTCACTTTTCATGGTGTTTGCATGCGAGGGTTTTCAGTGTATGTATATATATAATGTTACAAATTTTGTACATAGATAGATCATTTTAGTGCAGTTATGTATAAAACTTTTATTTTTCTGTGTAATGTAACGCTAAACCTTTTAAGAGAGAAGCTAAGCTGGAAAAATACGAATACAGGGACAAGTCCATTTAACATTGAGTTAATGGGTAACTTTAGGCCAGAAATCACCCAAAGTCACCAAACCAGGCGATCATTTGGTGACATTTGGGTCTGATCCATATATCACCATAATAAGTATTATAACTTATTATTAGCTAATATAGTATTGTAACTACATTAGCTGCAACCGTAGTTCAACCTCATATTGCTTTCCAGTAATTTCAAGAAGCAAAAAGTACTAGAAATATCTTGGAGGCCGTTTGAAAACTATATAAGGCTGGAGAGAGAAAGCATCTGCTCTCAGATAGTTGTTGTTGCTATTGTTGTGAGTTGTTAGTTCAGCATGAGACTGGGTTAGCTTTCTTTTTAGATGCACTTTGCATTGCATTGTGTTTAATTTAACATTCTTGGTAGTTTCAAGTGTAACTTCTGATTGTACCATGTGCTACTGTGAACACTGGTATGAATACTTCTGCGGAAAATTCCAGGGCTCTAAAATATTTCTTTCCATAAAAATAAATTTTCTTAATCTATAATTGGACCTGTACGTATTCAATCTATTATGAACCCATACGCACACAACAATATGTATGTGTATATATGCATAAAGACATAAAGTAGGAAATTTAGAACTAATTTTTCACAAAGACCAAAAATTGAAATTCATAATTAATAAATTTCAAATAATACATTGTCTTTACTGATAATTTTGCAGCAGCTTAATGCACAAAAATACTAGGTATGTTTATATTTTGTTTTTTAAAAAAATGTGTTGTATAAATATATATATATGAACATACAGAAAAAGTGTTCTAAAATTTTAAAAAATAAATAAACAAAAAGTTTTTTTAAACTTTTAATGCTTGCATTTAAATGCATAAAATGTGGTGAAATGGATCAAAAGAGACTTGAATTGAATGTATGTTTCATATTTAAAATATAATGAATTTAAAAGGCAGACTTTCAAGTTAAAGTAAAATAATTTTTTTACTCTAACGTTTCTCTGTAAAGGTTTTTGAATCTGTGTATTGATTATTAATTAATTTCCAATTAATGAATCTTAATAATTATAGTTCAAGGAAGCATTTGTAACAAGTTAATACAACTAACAAAAGCCTACAAAGGTACATTGGCCAAAAACATGCTTTTGAAGATCCAGTTTACAACTCTTTCTTCTTATCTGCATTTGTTATTTGTGGCTGCTCATGCCATGAAAAACTTGGGTAACGATGCAATATTTTATCTTGCTGCTGCTGTGTCTGATTTCTACATACCTGAACAAGAAATGGTATACATTTTACTATTTTATTTTGCAATATTACATTAATTGAAATAAGTAATTTAAATAACAAATCAGCTAATATTATTGAAGTGTTTTCTAAATAAGTCATTATGTTTTTGCATTTTGTATATGAGTGTGAATTTTAAAAATGTTAATCAGAAATATTAAGTTCAATAGAATGTTAATAATGTTAGTTTTAATAAAAAGTGATAGAAAAGTATTTTGTATGTGTCACATTTCAGCATTAAATAAAATTATGTAAAAATTATGGTTGCTCTCATATTCTTTAAACCTATTGAGATCAAGTAACTAATTCATTCACTAGTGCTCAAAATGATTAAAGAGGTAAGGTACATAATATGACAAATTATGTTAATTGTAAAATATCATTTATTTGTAAAATTCTTCAGAATATTCAGCAGTATATATGTGTAAGAGAAATCATAATCGGATAATTTTTATGCAATACTTATCATTCAGATCATAATATACAAACATATTATATAATAAGAAAAATGTCTTTTTTAAAGCTACAGCAGATGCTGCTTAATGTGATAACTCTTGTCCATCGCTATTTTAATGATTTCCTTCAAAATAGCAATGGAATCTAATTACACTCATGTCCATAAATTAAGGATAATGCAAAATCAGGCAAAGGAAGAGTTAGAAGCAAAACAAATTTGACTTATTTGTAAAGCTTATTTATTAAACAAAAGGTAAAGAGCAAAATAGATGCTAATGTTTGATATCATTAAAAAATTAGCGATTTTTTCCTCCCTGGAGCAAATTATAAAAAAACCTATTTACAAAACAATATCACATGGTTGGTTGATTTAATACTTTTATGTCTCTCAGACGATGCAATACAGTCCGTATAAGCCTAGGCATGCTGAGTATCAGATTATCGATCTGATTTGGATATTCACTCAAAAGAATGGTCTCTGAAGTTCTGGTAGACATGTAGGAAGGTGACGGGCTGCATCGTCGGCCAAGCATGTCCACGTGCTTTACGGATTCAAGTCCAGTGAGAATGCTGGCCAGTCCTACGGTGATATCCTCCGATAAAGCATTCGCTTCGATGCTTGCAGGTGAGGAGGCCATTGTCATCCATAAACACAAATTGTGCACCCATGGGTCAAATAAGGTACATGTTGTTCCAGAATGACTTCCGGTTATTTGCTTGTCTGTTCCAATTGAACAAGCAGGTCAGTCTGGACAGATAATCCATCCAAACGAGCACTCCTGC